GAGTGAACAAATGCTGTGTAAGTTCCCATCAAAAATGCTTTGATTTTCATGTTTACAGGTAAACTCACCAATCTCCCCCTTCCTCCAAACTGTCCTGTATTTCTTTCCCTCCCACTCCTGTAAATTAGTTTTGTTACATCACTGTGTTTAGTTTCATGTTTGTTAACAACAACAAAAAATTCTGTTGTGTTTTGTCTTTGTTTTGCTAAATCATCCCCCACCAGGGCTCAGAAGTAAGTTCCTATTTCCCTTTCCTCTCCCACTAACTACACAAGTACCTTCTTCAGGTTACTTTAACTGTGCTTGCCTGCATGGAAATGAATCCACCGTAAATTCTATGGTCGCCATCTTTCAGATTCTATTGTGGTTTTCCATTCGAGGAAGAATGACGAAACCTGGTTGTACTTATTTCCTCTTTCCTAATCTTACGCTGCTTTGTATAATGATTCAGAGTTACTTTAACCTCAGCCTTCTAGAAACAACTGACGTATACTGTACTCACTCTACATCTAGAAACGTCTTAATTATCTACCTTCAAGTCAACATCTATGAGTCTGTTCTGTTAATCTGCAGTCACCACCATGTGTTAACTAGAAAACCAACATTCAGCTTAGTTTACTAGAACTTTCGTTCGTGTTTCATACAAAACCTAAGTCAAATTAATGCAGGAAAAATCTACATTTATACTGCAAATCATACACTCTTACTAGTCAAGCATAGGGTACTGTGAGTCCACTGAAAAACTAGTAGTAGTAGGTGTCAGACCTTCAATTTATTTTTGTACAAATTTGGAACATATTTATTCAGACAAAACAAAATTCTTAAATATTGCTTCAGACAAGATGAAATTCTAAAAATTCTGATTGCAAAGAAGCAAAATTCAGTAGACAACTCCCTACTTTGCTCTCCGGACATAGAATTGCAATATTGATATCAAATTAGAGAGCCATTTACTAAACAGCTGAAAGCCCTTTTCTTAATTTGTTTTTCCCGTTTTTTAGTTGATAACGCTATCCTTATCAAAATGAATTGATCTAAAACAAATTGATTTGATTTGTTACAGATTAGATTTCTCTTGAAATTTCTAGGTTACCTGTATTCACAAAAGCCTTTTCAAATTACTCTCGCCTGAGATATTCAGTGTGCTAGTTACCATATAGAAATACTGGTATTGGCATCAGTAGGGGGTTGCAGACGGCACCGGGTCACACCACGCCGTCAAACAGCATGACAACAGCCAGCCCATGCAAAGATAACAGAGTTAACCATGCACTACACGGGCTTCTGGTCTATATCTTTGTTGGTTGCATATCCCTTACGTGAGTTTCAGTACTTCCACTGATAATATTGGAGCATTGCCTTGGTAAGATCCGGCAATGATCTGCCATTAACAGAAAGCTGGAAACCTTAACATAATTATACAAGGTCTGCACTTTGCAAAGGTGCAGACCAGAAGAGCTCACCACTGGACCACCACTGTGCTCACTTCCCTGGCACAAGATAACAAGAGGGAGATGGTAACTAAAAATACATACAGTTAGTTGTTCCCCCACCCAGTATAACACACACACATGCATGCTGCTGGTATTTTTTAGAGTTACTGATGCGGTTTGGTACAGAAAGGAGGTCCATCTGGAGGGAAAACACCATGACTTACTTAACTGAGATAACCCTAGTCACGCAACTGACGAAAGTTACTATGTAGTATCTAGGATGCTTACAAGACACATAAGAGCTTTAGTAAGTACAGTGAAACAATATTGTAAGAAAAATGTGAAAGATTATTTAGCAAACTCAGGTGTTCTGAATGGGGCCAGCTAACATTATTATCCCTTCATATAACCATATCAGCCATAGCCATAAATGAAACTTACATACACAGTAATAAATAAAAAATCTGAATTCGTAGAGCACAAATGTAAATATCCTGTGCAATGACATTGTGCAATATCAGTTCCAGTCATGTTCTGGCAGCAGTAACGCTGGTTGATTACCAAGAGACTTGGCATATCACAACAACTAGACATGTACATTTAGGCAATACTACACAATCACTGTTAAGTACATGAAATATTCTGCAGTGCTGTTTGTTTGAAAACTCATGATATTGGCTTGCAGGTTTCCCTTTGATGAGACTGATTCAATGCCATTAATAACGGCATATCTCAGCATTGTTTTAACCTGGCCCCTAATCTGAATTCAGTTTATACCTGTACATTAGACACCAAACACCATGTGAGCCACTCCTGATAATCTGAAATTAGTTGAATACGTTACGTTACCTACAAACCAAGCACTGTCGGAACCTCTGCAGGAAATCTCCAGTTACAATGCATTACAACAAAAACTATGCTGTCTGAATTCCTTAAAGGCTCGAGCTGCCATTATGAGTTGTCACATGCCTCTGAAGTTGTAAATCTATTTAAACAGCAGAAAAGGACTCTGCATCATGTTATAAAGCAGCACATTCATTTTCAGGAAGGGTTGCTGTGGCTGCTACAGCTTCACACAAACTTCTGCATTTACGTCCGCATTGTAAGGGATGGTACTCATCAAGAGGTCAATGCCTACTGACGCATGCAAAGATGCTTAATGTACTTGCAGAATCTGTCCCATTACAAGAAGTTCAAGGCTTTGCAGGCCTCTTGCAAGAAATGGTTCTCAACCTGTGCTATGCAGACTTTAACCTGTGCTCACTCATTTCCAACAATTAACTTTGCATGGCCCAAAACATACCCACAACGGACAGATTATTAACCCTGCCAGTGCTGAATACCATTGTAACTGGAATTTGTTTTTGTGCTGGAAGGGTTAATGTTTACTTTCAGCTTCAAGTTCATATTTCTTTTTCTTTTTGTGGGTGCAGGAAAAATGTCAGTTGCTTTGCATGTGTCACGTGATTTGCTATAAATGAAGCTATTTTGCCAATTAAGCCTCATTATCCTGTCCCCTCTAGATTACGAAGTGTGAAAATGGAGCAGAGGAAACTCAATGACCAGGCTAACACACTAGTGGATCTTGCAAAGGTGAGCATGCTTATGGAACCTATGGATAAGTTAAAAAATACTTTATATGTTACATAATATCTTACTTAATATCTTAATACTAGAATATTTTTAGTCTTCTCCAGTATATGGCCCTTCAACGTTTACTAACAAATTGCAATGCACTTATAAGGTAATGGCGTAAGAATGAAATAATGTCTGTCTGTGTGCTTCATATAGAAACAATTGAAGCACATAGGTACATAGAAAAGATGTCCTTATTTAGAGAGTCAGTACAAATGGAGTAGAACACAATGTTTTTAGTAGCCTGAAACATGGTAAACATGAAACAGTGGTATAGAAATAATACAGTTTGGGAAAAACAGCTACTTTGCAATGCTTAAACTGAATACAGTCCTTTAATTGCCCACTAAAAAGTCATTTAAATGTCGGAAGAGTACGAGTAAGAGTATATCTATCTAGCGATCTATTCTGCCTTGAAGGGACACTCTAATCAACAAAACAACTGTAGCTTAATGAAGCAGTTTTGATGTCTCACTGCTAAATTCAATCAGATCATACAGTACAGTGTGTTTACTTTAGAAATTCGTATCTCCTGCTCAATTAATTGTACTTTAATTATACCTGTGAGGCTGTTGCAGGCTATTAACAGACCTTTAAATTAAACACACTGTGTAATAAGGGAAGCATCATAATTTTGATTATTTTTAAAGAAATGGGTAGGGAGACTGTGTAAGTCATAACCCAAGGAGATAGTGCTAGGAAAATATTGCCAACTGTGTTAGTATAATTGAAGAACTGCTTTTGTTTTTTTTATGGTTCTGATTTCCATTTCTGTGTACAGCTAATGACACATTTCCACTGGCTGTAAAGGTGAATTGCCCTTTTGTAGGAGATCATACAAAATCTGTTATTCTATAACTATTGTTCTTATAACAAAAACAAATGTTTTGCTTTATACCTATTGCCCATATCTAATTTAAACAGCATGTATAATGTGGAATTTTATTAACACACTTATTTTCTCCTATGTAGACACAGAATGTTATGTACGACCTCATGTCCGAGCTACAAGAACGTAACGATGACCTTGAGAAGAGGATTATAACTTTGGAGACTAAGATTGACTCCTTAAATGCCTCCCTCCATGCTCTGCCAGGGCTCATTGCTCAGGCCCTGCTTCGAGAGCAGGGAGAACTATTCCTCCTGCGCTCCCACCGCCCCTTTCATCCATCTAACAGTTCGGACAATTCATGGAGTCCCCCACGTAGACGTACCTCTCCTTCCACTGCCCCGCACACCTCTTCAGACAGCGGCTGAAGAGGGGAGTGGGAAGATTAAGTCCTGAGTGGGAGTGGTGGAGTGAAGACTTTACAAGCTCACTGATTATCCATAGCCACTGTGTGGTTTGATTATGTCAGCTTTTTTTCTTAAAAGCCTTGGATATTTGTTAACCCCTGCGGGTTCTTTGAAAATGCTGGAGTGAAAGTTCTATCAAAAACAAAAAAAAGTTTGTGTAAACACGCACACGTGTGTACGCGCAGTGCCGCGATTATTCCCCCACACCTGCCACATACCTGATTTTGAGCAGTCATGTGGTATGGTTCAATTTAAAGAGAGATCATCCTGTTAAATACTTTCTAAAATGTATTTATTTTCTGTACAAAGTATCACTTGCACGACTGTCTGATTTTGTTTTTAACACACTGAACAAATCTGTTGGGTATCTAGCAGTTTTGCTTTTAATTAGTGATAGGCAGTCGGCCATATTTTTTTAATTTCTAAAAAATATATTTTAAAGTGTCAGAAAGATGTACCGAGAGGGGTCTGTGTGCAACCCCATAGCTGTCATGGGATAAGGTGTAAGTGACTGGAACGTGCGTGTGTGTGTTTACATACATGAATATGTATATATAAATATATTTATTTATTTATATATATAAATTGCTTCTCATATATATATATATATATATATATATATATATAAGCAGAACTCTGTATTTTTTTAAACTTTTGTTGCTGGAGTGGTGTAATATGTAATATACCAGTGTTACTGCCCCACTGGGTGGCAGGTATCTACGTAGAGGGGCTAAGGTGGATGTCACTTGAGATTGGCACCAAGTTCTTTTAAACAAACATCATATCTGAAAAAAAAGATGGGCACATAAAAAAAAGTATTGGTTGATAAATGATTTTTTACAATTACATTTAAAAAATTGTGGCTGTGTCCCAATCCCCCTTCAACAGCTTTAACCATGGTATTTTTAGTAGGACATTCAGACCTAGCTAGATGTATGTGCCTGGGAGCTTGCTTGTCCAAGCTTGGTTGACTCTGGGTCTGACTCTTCAGTTGATACCCTTCAGGGTAAAACCTCTATTCTCCAAACAAGGGATTTGAGATTTACTGGGCTCTCACCACACTTCAAAGTTGCCACTTATGTGTTTTTATGGCCAGCAATCCTTTTTTATCTCGTCCCTAAAGAGGCACTGATTCAGCACACATGCCTGGGCAGCATATTTCATTAGGGTTTTATTTTGTTTTTTACTTATTTAGGAAAGATTACATTTTGACTACTTATATGTTTAGGATATATATATATTTTTAATCAATTTTAAAATAAACATGCATTTAAGTTGCCAGCTATATTTTACTTAAAGTGTTACTCAAAGACCCCTTGCCATCTGCTGTAGTGGTAACTATGTAAGCAGAACTCTGGACCATTCCACAGCAAAGAGGCAAACCATTTAGCAATGGCTTGCCTCTTACCTGGGACCTGCTGGGTACTGGGTCACCTGTAATGCTGGCTGAATGACAAACTGCAGAAACCGCATCCCTCTACTCACTCATTACTGAGTGTGTCAGCAGGGCACTGTCAGCCAATGAATTAGCATTGTTCACATATATATGCACAGAATTGGCATAGGCCAACTTGAAATTCTCATTTTGTATTGGCCAATGACTATGTTACATATCAGGAGGTAGCCCAAATATGTGCAGCATTTAATAAAAAAATATTCCTCATACAGGCTCCCTGCACCATGACCACTTGAAACCACTGAAGTTGTTATGCTGTTGGAGTAACCCTTTAAAAAGGAACTGTCACTTTCCAGAATTTTAATATGATGTTTACTTATAGTCTATTTTTAGCAAATGTTTGTGAGATCTTAAATATCAAATTAAAAGTAGAAATCCTTACCACTGTATCCTGAAAAACAGGACCTCCAAATTGACTCTGCCTTGAACACTTGTTAGACAGCATAGATAGGACATTAAGAGAGAAGGAGAAACAGAGACAGTGTTTCTGTTTCTCCTAATCCAATGTGCTATGTGCCTTGGATGTGCCAGGACTGAACTTGATTATGACAAATGTTAAATTGTACTTGATATTAGTGATGTCCCGAACGGTTCGCGAACGGTTCGCCACGGACTCATCATTGAATAAACTTTGACCCTGTACCTCACAGTCAGCAGACACATTCCAGCCAATCAGCAGCAGACCCTCCCTCCCAGACCCTCCCACATCCTGGACAGCATCCATTCATTGTGAAGCTGCATTCTTAGTGAGCTGTCCAGGAGGTGGGAGGGTCTGGGAGGGAGGGTCTGCTGCTGATTGGCTGGAATGTGTCTGCTGACTGTAAGGTACAGGGTCAAAGTTTACTCAATGATGAGTCCGCGGCGAACCGTTCGCTAACCGTTCGGGACATCACTACTTGATATACATTTAATGGAACAGTTTAGGCACCATAACAACATCATCAAAATTAAGTTTTTATAGTTCCTGGAGGTCTGGAAATGGTTTAACCCCTTAGTAGAGCCAGCACCAGAGACCTTCTAGCACCATTACAACTTCCTTTTGATGAAACCGAGTGTTCTTTAAAAGAAAACAGAGCATGGAAGGTTAACAGAAGTTACAGGCGATTTTGAGTGGTAAGGTTTAACAGTTCCCTTTTAAATACCAGCTTAAAAATGAAACCTAAAATACCAATGCTCAAGTAGGAACCAGGTGTATACAAATCCACAGTCTTTTTTTATGTTCTTATTCTTTATTCAAAATTTGAGCAAACAGAATTAATACAAAAGAGCATTTAAGGTAGTACCACAAATCAGAATATAATTGGGTATGGTGGGACACCCCTGGCAGGCCCCTTGCCCATGGCTAAGACAAGTGTGTGTGAAATTGTGCCCATTATTTGTAGTTTTGACTCTTTCCACTATGTTTAAAGGACTCCTACAATATCAACCATGGTAATTTTATAACATGGTCATACTGAAATCAATTGTGTATATGAAATTATTCAAGAAAGCTGGAGATTTCTTTAAAAAGTCCATCATTAGTAGGCTATATAAACTGAAAGGTGGATACATGAAGTTTTAATAATCCAGTCGGTTCAGTTAAAGTTGGTCCCGATCTTGACGTGACAGCCATCAGCCCGTGGATTCCCTATTGCACCCATAGGGCAGTGTAGGGCTCTGTGATGCCCCCCTAGGAGGGTTGTAGTCTTCCCATGGATATGTGTGGCTTCTGTAATGGTTTAATACTAACTGGGGCCATTTGACTTTAAACTGTGGAATATAATATTTAATGGAAGGCTGGGGGAGTGAAGGGAAAAAATGGAATCAAGTTGGTTGATAAATTGGTAATATTGTTAGATCGAGAATATATATCTATCATAAGGGTAAAATTGTTTTGTTTAAACATCTGTCAAAGATCAGCTGGGAGGGCATTTATTAATATTAATGAAGATGATGGTAGGTATTGGTAAATTTAAAGTAAGCTGCGATTTAGGAAAATCACGTTGATATCATAGTGATTTTTAAGAATTGGTTTGGTAGGTCGTGGTAATTGGTTGGATGTCAATTCATGATTTTTGCAAATTTAACAAACAATTCACCAACCCCTGGATGATACCTCAACAAAGAGATGGCTATGAATTTACTGTTGACAGATATCAATAATATTTAAATATATTTTATTTTATTAGCCATGTTGATATTTAACCAAGATTGTGTTAACACTGGAAAATAAATAGATAGTATAATACCACTTTGTGGACTAATATGAAATATATTTGTTGCTAAACTTGGGTACATTTTTCCTTGGAAAATGTCTTCATTATTCCATTATATGGTGTCATACTATCTATCCTAGCTCCCAAATGCTACTGTATTTTTGGGAAAACATAACGTTATTGTACCACTATAATACAGTTTGTTAATGGAAGAAAAAATCAAGAATTTGGGGGAAGCATGTATGTTATATAAGAAGAATATTCCAATGAGGTACTAAATTCTGGAAGGCCTTTTTAGTACCACTTCCAACTTCACTCCGATGCAGGGATTCTCACTGCAAAACATTAACCTTTTTCATGCTGTATAGGGTGATTTGACCCCTCCAGCAGCGAAGAGGTTAATTCCCCCTGCCTCTTAGAGAGGGCCGGCATTGTGTCTGACCTTCATTAGTAATATCCCATTTCTAGATTTTTATTTAAAATAAAAAAATGACAATTAGAATCTATAACCAGTTTTCTAGAAAATGTCAGAATGCCACAGATCTAGAAGAAATAAATCCTGTTGGAGAGAAATATGTCTGTGAATTTATGATGTTTGGTATTTGCTGTGGAGAGCTGTAACGTGTTGTGTTTGTTTCATTTACACATATAAACGCACACATACAACCTAACCTATCTTAACATACAGATATTCATATGCTTTCAGGTGAGAAGGTCAATATCATGTTGAAGCATCTGTTAGCCTTACTTTATATGTGCTTTTTTTTTTTTTTTTACAAGATTTATGGGCCACTATATACTGAGAGCTTTTGACTGTTTACCTAACATGGTGCCTCCACCATGTTAGGTACATGTCAATACATTTTAAGGAATCTGAACCAAATAAAGTCAATGTGTTCCATTACACTTCTAAAAGACATTGGCCCACAAAATTTTTATTATGAAAGAAAGGCATCAGGCTTTAGAAAGGAAACACTGTGATTCTTATATATAACTCTATTTCCTGTCATGTGTTTCGAAGAATTCCAGCAAAGTGTACACAATACACTTAGGAGCTAGTGCCATCTCTATACTATGTTTAATGCAATAATACTATTTAGCTGCTATATTCCTTATGTGAGATGGTTGGATCTGATTTCTGAACATAGTGTAGTTTACTTTACAAGTTTAGTTTACACTCAATGGAATAGAAAATCTATTATATTCAATAAATAGTACAATTGGATGATCTAAATGCATATCCAAAGTATTTTTTTTTCTGTCAAGCAGATGGAGCTGCTGGAACATGGGATGGTCTATACCTGTTCAAGAACCACAACCTGTCCCCCATGTGAACACTCCAAGGTGATATCACATCATACCGCGTCATTCTTTGTAAACAGTAGGTGACTTCAAGGGAGCTGGGAAACTGTGTCTGCTGCCTTAAAATACAGAGACAGCTTGCTCTCTCACAATGTACACACAGGGCCGGTGCAAAGATCTTAGACTACATAGGCTAAAATGCATTTTGCTGCCCGCCCTACGCAATCTACTCACATAGGTACTGATAGACACGCACCGCCGCCTCCCCTGCTGCCAGAGCATCCTGCAAGAAAACTCTGTGTAGCGGAGCTCCCTGTACCCTGGCTGGGTACCTCCGCCAAGGACCGCTTCCTAACTGGAACAGGGGAAAACCTCAGCGCTTCTGCCCCAGTCGCCATCGCTTGACTGGGGTCCTTAGGGAGCCTCTCCGTCCTGGAACAGGATAGGAGACTCTTTTCAATTCAAAACCGCAAACCAAGTTGTCTGGGAACCGCACGGTCACCTCATGCCAAAAACACTGTCTATTCTCCCTGGACCCCACACTGCCGCTGGGGAGTAGATTGATTGTCTCCACTCCCAATAACTCACTCGGCCGCTGGGGTGTGAAACTGACTGTCTCCACTCCCAATAACTCGCACTGCTACTGGTGAGGAAGGAAGATACACTACTCTCCCTGGAATCCACACTGCCGCTGGGGAGTGAGACCGGTTGTCTCCACTCCCTGTAACATACTCTGCCGCTGGGGAGAGAGACCAACTGACTCTTCTCACTGGACCCCAAACTGCTGCTGTGGATGGAGGACGACATGCTAATCTCCTTGGGACGCACACTGCCACTGGTGCAGGGGTATCCCCCACTGTACCAACTTGATTGTCAGCTCTTCTTTGCGCTGCAGATATCCGGCCACTATATTCCTCGTATGCTGTATGTATTTCTCAGCGTGGTTGGGACCATAGAAAGTCAGCAGCCCCTTCAGCATAGTGTCAAACTCCGCGTCAGTGTAGCTGGGTGCCATGTTTGTTCAGCTCTGACAAAAGTTAGTTCCTCTCCAGAAGATGTGCAAGAGTCCCAGGGGTGTTTTGGATTGGTTTCCCCCCAAGGCTAGGAAGCCATCCCACCGCTGCCACCACTTGTAGCGGAGCTTCCCGTACCCCGGCTTGGTACCTCCGCCAAGGACCGCTTCCTAGCTGGAACAGGGGAAAACCTCAGCGCTTCTGCTCCAGTAGCCATGGCTTGACTGGGTCCTCCTGGAGCCTTTCCTGGAAAAGGATAGGGGATTAGCTTTATTCACTCCCAGGGACTGGACAACACACATTCAAGGACTTTCCTTGCTGAACAAGGTGCTGAACAGTGATTTAGCCCTTCCCCCTCCCAGTTACTAGACGACACATAGTATGTACACTCCTATAGACACAGTCACAGGTACACTCCTATAGACACAATCATAGCTGTACACAGATGCATACAATCATACTCAGGCACACACTCACAGTCACACATTTACACTCTGACACACAACACACTTGCAGACCCAGATATACACACACACACACACACACACACTATCAGTACCCCTTAGTAACTCCCCAGCACACAGTGTACACCAATCTAATGTTTCAGAGTACTACTAATTCCTCTTCCTGACAGCCCTACACCATCCCTCACTTACTGTATTATCTAAAAGTCTGCATGATGTGGCTATTCCTACCTATGGGGAGCTGCAGCCTTCTGCCTTCATAGTGAGAGCTTCATTCCCACTCCCTTGTGGTCCGATGTACACAACAGTTACAGGTTTATTTACTAAAGTGAGAATTCAAAATGAATTCAAAGTGAATTTCAGATTTAAGGCCAACATAAATGTACTGGAAACATGTTGTAAGACAGCTATGCTTTCACTTATAGTCTGGTCCTAAATTTGAAATTCAATCTAAATTCTCACATTAGTAAATAAACCTGTTAGTGAAATTGCAAGATCTATGTGTTTTTAAACCATGGGTAAAGTATGTGGGTTATGGTGGAAGGGTTACCCGCTTACAAATAAGTAAATACTGAAAAATCTGTTGATGGAGAACCACTCCACATAATGAAATTCAAACACAAACAGATTGTTAGATAAACTTTATTACTGTCATGTTCTTCATATAAAGCTATAAAGATAAAATGTGGATACCTTAGATGCAATATAAAATACTTGCGCTTATAGCCAGTTTGTATGTTTTTTGGAAAACCTAACATTCTCCAAATTTTCACATGCAAGAAAATACCATAAAGAAATTATAGGGCAGATAGTCTGTACAGAAATATATCATATTTGTAGCTGGTATCGCCATCCTCTCACATTTATCAGAGCTTATATACAAGCTCTAGTATATTGCGTGTGTGTGACTTTTAAAAGGTAGTTACTAACATCTAGGCAATCTCTCAGGTGTTTCTCTATTGTGGTGCCCAGTGGTGAGTTCACCTTACAGCATAACCTCAGGTAGGTGATGATCTTCCATCCTGGAGATATGCCCTGCCCAGTGCAACTGCAACTTCAAATGAATTGCCTCGATGCTGGTGGTCTCTGCCTTTTCGAGAACTTTGATATTGGTGATCAAGTCATTGCAATGGATATTAAGGATTGTGTGGAGGCAGCATTGGTGAAAGTGCTCCAGGAGCCACAGGTGATGGCGATAGGTAGCCCACAACTCCAAGCCATACAGGAGAGTGGTCAGTATGACAGCTCCGTACACACTGATCTTTGTGCCTCCCTTCAAGTGTTTGTTGTTCCAGACTCTCTTATACAGTCTGTCAATTGCTCTGTTTGACTTTGCCAGTCTGCTATTTATCTCTTTCTAGATCTTGGCATCTGAAGAGATGATGCACCCAAATTAGCTGAACTAATTGGCTATCTTCAGCTCTGACCTATGGTCACCAATGGTGATGCTCTGACCAATGGTCACCAATGGTGATGTGAGGTGATGGCAAACATCATGAGGTGCAGGCTGCTAGAGTGCTTCTGTCTTCTTCAGACTGACTTCTAATCCAAATAACTCTAATCCAAAAAGCAGGACGTTATTTGCTGCAGGGCTTGCACCGTGTAAAAGCAGGGGCAGCATCGTCAGTGAAAAGCAGTTTTCATCTTGGTGTGGGTCCTTAGTCACCTCAGGTTAAATAGGCAGCCATCACTGCAGTAATGGATATATGCGCCATCTTATTTATCAAGGTCTACAGTGGCCCTTTGGGTTCCAACCAGGAGGTCATTGCTGTGTCTGACTTGGCCATGCTAATCTTCTGATGATAATATTAAGGAATGTAGGGGACTTCTTAGGCGTTCAGATCTTATAAATAATATAGTGTGAACACACAATAATTATTATAAATATTACCACAGGCTGTATATATATTTTTAAACCTGAAAAAATTTAATATAAGAAAAAACCATGATAAAGTTTAAACAACAATAAAATGAAGCACACAGATAGTCTTAACTCACATGGTGCTGAGCCACTCAAGGAGCGGGCTCAGACTTAAACGCCTTTAATAGAAGGATGTGGTGAATGTTCCTTTGAGATCACCTAGTAATGTTCCAGCATGACTCGTAAAAGCCATTCACCTTATAAACTCCAGGATGCAGGATAAAGGTTAGGGTAACATTTATTGGTATACAAAATAAATACTAAATAAAAATGGATATCATAAATAAAACAAACAAAGTACATGTTTACTTGACACATTTCAGCAAATAGCCTTTTTCAAAAGTGTTCAGGTCCTTTTTTTCCATGGAGTTTCATCTTTTTATTTTGAGATGTTGGCACCTTTTCTCCACGATCTTCACGCCCCCTTTTTCCATATCGGCTGCTTCCTCTTGGCATCAGGATGAGTTCGTATAGACACATCCTTGCGTCCTGACATCGTATGGGAGAGTGGTGTGTGGGCGCAAAGGTCATCTTCCAGTTTTAGAGTTCTAAATTCAACATAAATTCATGGAAAATCCGCCAAATTATAGGAGACTAAATACATATAAATACATATCTTACACACTTAAAAATCGGAAATATAAACACACAAAAAATATATTTATAAATCTATCCTAATTAAGATATTCAGTATATGCTATAGAATTATAGCATATATAATTAAATTAAAAAACAATATTGAAATGTAAAAGTTCATATATTTAAGTGTTAATTCTGGAGAATAAAACCATTTATTTAATTCAGGCTAAAAATCTACTTAATAAAACTGAGAGTCCAATTATACATCAAATTAAACAATCTACAGAGGGAGAAATAAATAGATAAAAAGTTTAAAAAAATCTTTAAAAAATAATAAATATATATATATATATATAGAAGGCTGGGACATCCCTATTTAAACCCTGTGAGCCCCTACTCACCTGTCAGCGACATTCTTGGACATGCCCCTCCCACCGCACCCTCAGTTTAATTATCATTTCACCTAGGTGGGCCCTCTTTTACAGGTCTAACCTCACGTCGGTTTCGGCACACCTCAGCTGACTTTGCTCTTTCTAATACTGCTTCTTTTTATTATTTGTTTCCTTACGTCCTCGAAATGCGCCGTACACAAATATATATATACACCGCTCAAAAAAATAAAGGGAACACAAAAATAACACATCCTAGATTTGAATGAATTAAATATTCTTCTGAAATACTTTGTTCTTTTCTTAGTTGAATGTGCTGACAACAAAATCACACACAAATTACAAAATTACTCAAATTTTTCAACCCATGTAGGTCTGGATTTGGAGTCACACTCAAAATTAAAGTGGAAAAACACACTACAGGCTGATCCAACTTTGATGTAATGTCCTTAAAACAAGTCAAAATGTGGCTCAGTAGTGTGTGTGGCCTCTACGTGCCTGTATGACCTCCCTACAACACCTGTGCATGCTCCTGATGAGGTGGCGGATGGTCTCCTGAGGGATCTCCTCCCAGACCTGGACTAAAGCTTCTGCCAACTCCTGGACAGTCTGTGGTGCAACGTGACGTTGGTGGATGGAGCGAGAAATGATGTCCCAGATGTGCTCAATTGGATTCAGGTCTGAGGAATCCATTCCATAGCATCAATGCCTTCTTGCAGGAACTGCTGACACACTCCAGCCACATGAGGTCTAGCATTGTCTTGCATTAGGAGGAACCCAGGGTCAACCGCACCAGCATATGGTCTCACAAAGGGTCTGAGGATCTCATCTCGGTACCTAATGGCAGTCAGGCTACCTCTGGCGAACACATGGAGGGCTGTGCGGTCCCCCAAAGAATTGCCACCCCACACCATTACTGACCCACTGCCAAGCCGGTCATGCTGGAGGATGCTGTGGCCTGCTGGTGGTCATTTTGCAGGGTTCTGTCAGTGCTCCTCCTGTTCCTCCTTGCACAAAGGCAGAGGTAGTGGTCCTGCTGCTGGGTTGTTGCCCTCCTACAGCCTCCTTCACGTCTCCTGATGTACTGGCCTGTCTCCTGGTAGCGCCTCCATGCTCTGAACACTACGCTGACAGACACAGCCAACCTTCTTGCCACAGTTCGCATTGATGTGCCATCCTGGATGAGCTGCACTACCTGAGCCACTTGTGTGGGTTCTAGACTCCGTCTCATGCTACCACTAGAGTGAAAGCACCGCCAGCATTCAAAAGTGACCAAAACATCAGCCAGGAAGCATAGGAACTGAGAAGTGGTCTGTGGTCACCACCTGCAGAACCACTCCTTTATTGGGGGTTCTTGCTAATTGCCTATAATTTCCACCTGTTGTCGATCCCATTTGCACAACAGCATGTGAAATTGATTGTCACTCACATTGTCACTTACATTGTGTTGTTTAAGTGTTCCCTTTATTTTTTTGAGCAGTGTATATATATATATATAGATATATATATATATACACACATCCACATATATATAGATAAGTCACATAAAAGAATTAATCTCAAAATTATCTCAAAAGTATCTACAATAAAAATCCAGCTAATTTCTGTCTTACCAAAGAGGTTACTTTTATCTCCACTTCTCCATTGGACTTTAGTTTCAGCTATACCAACAAACTCAAGTCCACTGGGGGTTACCATAATGAATTTCTGATAATTTTTTTTTAGATACGCTAATATTACTATACCTTCTATTGATATTATAAACAGGTTCTTTAATGCGTATCTTTAACAGTCTTGATTTTTCCCCCTGAAATCCACAGGGACATGTTAACATATAAATTACATCCTTAGAATTACAGGTGCTAAAAGATTTAATAACATATTCCTCCTTAGTTTTAAATGAGACAAATCCTTCTACTTTTTTTTATTTTTGTTCTATCTTCATTTGCACCCACTACAGTCTTGACAATAAAAGAAACCATTCTGTTTAAAAAAATATATATATCACTTTCTTCTCTGTTCTCTTTATCTATAAAACTTTTAGTTAAAATCGGTTTCAATCTTTTGCTCCCCTAAATATAAACCTGGAAACAAAACAGGATCTATATTTTGATCCTCTCTTAAGACTGGCCATTTTTTATATATGACCTTATGTAAGTCAGAACTATTAAAAGCAAAAATAAAAAAATTGCCACATACCTTTTCTTTCTGCTCACAGTATCCAATGCTTTGGTAAAGTGAACGAACATCACGTACAATGCCTTGTTCTGTTTCCCGACATTTTTCTTGGAGCTGTCTGAGAACAAATACCATGTCAGTGGTGCTCCTTCTAGCTCTGAAGCCATATTGGCTCTCAGGAAAGAGTTCTTCTACAATGGTGGGTACCAATCTGTTCAAAAGTACCCTTGCTAGGATTTTTCCTGTGACGGAGAACAGTGTTATCCCCTGTTAGTTGGACTTTTTACCTTTGTTCTTATACAGGGTAATAATTAATAGTGTCAGAGAGGTCCTGTGCTAGTTTGCCTTGTTCCCAGCAGCAGACAAAGACATCATGAAGTTTAGTGTGTAGTGCTGGGCAGTATACTGCCTTCGGGGATTCATAAAACCCTTTGTAGTCACCAACATCTGCGCAAAGCTGAGTTTTCTCTGCAAGGTTTGTCCACCACTTGTTCTTAATCTCTCAGAGCTTGCGCTTGAGGTTTCTGCATACAAGGCAGAAGGCTGCATTATTATTAGGACAAGATGGCTGAGCAATGTGCTCTTGGGGAGCAGATATCTTCTGTATCAGCAATTCTTGGATCTCCTGATTGTTCTCCCCAAAGCAATCTTTGTATCTGATTGTGGTCAAGCCTAAAACCTTTTTGGAGTTTTGAGGAATGGCAGATTTTAGAAATTCCCAAAGCTTTACTGAGGAGTGGTCCATAGGGCAGATAGAATCCTCGAGCCTCAACTGAAGACTTGCTTGAAATTCGACATTCACTTCAGCTGACTGGAGATTACCAATCTATGGAATGCCTCTCCTTTTGGTTTGAGTTTTAAGTGGAGACATAGCTTGCATCTTACAAGACAATCTTACAAGACAATGGTCTGTAGGACATTTTGAGTTGGGCATTACTCAAGTGAGTAAGATGTGTCGTATGTATCTTTGGCGCACCATGATGTAATCTATAAGGTGCCAATGTTTGGACCTAGGGTGCACACAAGATGTCTTCAGAATTTTTTTTTACTGGAAGATGGTGTTGGTGATGACACATTTTTGCTTCACACAAAACTCAAACAAAAGGCACAAATTGTCATTGCAATTTCAAACACCTGTTAGCCAAGTACTCCTTTACAGGCTTCTGAGTTTTTGTCTACTTTGGCATTGAAGTCACCAAGCATGATAACCTTGTCGTCCACAGGGACATTCTGCACGAGGTTACGTAGTTCAGTGTGGACCTTGTCCTTTTCAGCAGGACTTGCTTGAAAAGTTGGGGCATACACGTTAAACACCATGACATGCTGCTTGTTTTGAAGTTGGAGGTGCATGGAGATGATGTGATCTGAGTGACCTGATGGCAGAATTTCAAATTTAGGGGCAATGGAGTTCCTGATCAAAAAAGCCACCACCACAGAGGCATTTATCGGTCTCTGGCTTGCCTGACCAGTAGGGGGTGTATCATGCGCATGTCTCTTGAGGGCTGCCTACCTGGGTTCCAACATGCAGGTTTTAGTCCTAGCACACCTTGTGAGTCCAGTGTGTGCATGCACTGCAGACCGTCCTGTCTCAACGTCCTAACCCAGAGAACTCCATGCATCCGTGCGGTATTTCTTGAAGAAATTGAACCCAGCAGAGTGCAATTACTAGATTGTTGATAGAGAACTCCTGGCTATAATTTTAGCTATCAAAGAATGGAGACACCTTCTTGAGGGTACTTTATTGACAATTCTCATTCTCACGGACCACAAGAATTTTACTTATCTTTCCAAAGATAGGTGTTGGGGTGAGAGGTTCCCGAGTGGGTATGCATTCCATTTGGCAGGCTTTGCGCAGACCTGTATGAATTTCTCTTCAGTCGATACAGTAACAGATTGTTGCTTTGTAGGTATGGGTGAGTAGCCGCTGCTGTTAATGCAGGACCTTTGGTCCGCCGCTTTCTCAACTTTGCTCTGTCGGCTGCGCTGGTCCTGGATCTATGCAGGAGCTCTGTTTGTCAGAGAGGCGGTTTGAGGCGCCTTGCTGTGGGTGACACTTTGGTTTTGTTGGCTTTGTGTAGGCTGCGTCTTTTCGCATTGTTGTGCCAGACCCCAGCTATCAAAGTGGATCTTTTCATGTGTCTGCACAGCCTCGGATAGGAGTGGCGTGGGTTTGCTGCGCCCGGCTCCGAGTCTTCCCATGGTGGGCCCTACGGTGTGTTTACCAGAGGAGGTGCTTGCTCTGTGGGCCATGTGAGGGACTCTAGCTTCTCCCAGATTAAGTTGAATATGTGGTTGAGTCGTAACTCAGTGACCCTCCATGCTGTGGCTAGGGCTGTGAGTGCTACCCGCCATTTTGAATGAATGCCCTTTTTCATGCATGACAATACCTTACTGGCCTTAGTCACTGCTGATTGACATTGCACATTGTTGCTTAGTTTGTTGTCTATAACAAAACCAAGTCCTTCTCGTGTGTTGATATCCATAACTTGCTTTCATTAAGGGTATAAGTTGCTTGTGCATTCTTTACACAAAAGTGCATAACTGCATTTTTCTACATTAATATTAAACTTCATCTGCATTTGAGTGCCCAGTCCCCCAATCTATGTAAATCCCTCTGCAGCAAAGCAATATCCTGCTCACATTGTATTACTTTACAAAGTTTTGTCATCTGCAAACACTAAAACATGGCTTTTAATGCCTATTTCAAGATAATTTATGAATATGTTAAATAGAAGCAGTCCCAAAACCGATCCCTGAGGGACACCACTTACCACTTTTATCCAACTTGAAAATTTACCATTAATAACAACTTGTACTCTGTCCTTAAGACAATGTTCTAGACCGATTTCTTTAAGTTTGAACACTAATTTATTGTGAGGAACCGTATCAAACGCCTTGGCAAAATCCAAGTAGATCCCATCCACTGCAACCCCCTTATCTATACTTCAACTTATTTCTTCGTAGAGTGCAATTAGGTTAGTTTGACATGACCTATGTTTCATAAAACCATGCTGATTATTGCTAATAACAAAGTTCTTCCCAATGAATTCCTGAATGTTATCCCTTAATAGCCCTTCAAATACTTTCCCAGTCACAGAAGTTAAAGGGACACTATAGTCACCTGAACAACTTTAGCTTAATGAAGCAGTTTTGGTGTATAGAACATGCCCCTGCAACCTCACTGCTCAATCCTCTGCCATTTAGAAGTTAAATCCATTTGTTTATGAACCCTAGCCACACCTCCCTGCATGTGACTTGCACAGGTGGGTATTAATGCTGTGAGGGGATATTGATGGAGTGAAGGGGGGTATTAATGGTGTGAGGGGGGTATTGATGGTGTGAGGGAGGGGGCATTAATGGTGTGGGGGGGGTATTGATGTTGTGAGGGGGGTGATAATGTTGGAAGGGACGGGGTGCTGGTAAGGAATTAAATAAATTTTTATAGCTCCCTGGTGGTCCGGTGGTCATAATATCCGGTCTGCAGTTCCACAGACCTGCAGACAATGTATCTTGCGAGATCCAGTCAGAGCGTTGCCGTGGTAACCTCTGGCAACGCTCTCATCGGCCATATCTCGCGAGACACATGGTCTGCAGCTCTGCACATTGCGGAGCTACAGACCTCTGTCTGTGATTGGCGCTCTCCGGCCAAGCAGACTGGAGGGGCCTGGCAACCAGCGGCATACAGAGGAAGCCCCCGGGACCCCTGCTGGTGTCGGGTACTCGTTAACTGACCGAGGACCCGACACAGTCTGCCCTAAGGTGATTTAGGTGGCTGCGAGGCCTTAGGCGGCTGCCTAAATCGCCTAATTAGAGAGCCACCTCTGACCACACTCTAGCACCCAGTATTAAAATAGTGATTATATTAAAGCAGGAGTACAAGGCAAGATTGAACTGTATATGTATGTGTGTAATATATATACACACACATACAGTGGCGTACACACAACCCATGGGGCCCCGGTTCGAAACTGATCAATGGGGCCCCTCTCTAACTCCCTACCCCGACAGACACACACACACACATACAGAGACACACAGACAGATACATGCAGACACATACATACACACAAGACACATACATACAAACAGTCAGGCACACATACATACAGACAGACACACATATAGAAACAGACAGACAGTCACACATATACACAGACAAGACACATACATACATACAAACAAACAAACAAACAGATAGGCACACACATACACAAGATACATACATAAAAATAGACCTGCACACACACACAACAAACATACATACATACAAACAGACATGCACACACACACAAGACACACATACATACATACAGACAGAAAGACACATACAGACAGACAAGACATACATACAAAGACACATACATACAAACAGACAAGCACACATACATACAGACAGTCACATACAAACAAACAAACAAACACACACATAATATTTAAGTCACCCTCCTGTTTCCTACCTTTTAAATGCAGGAGGGTGACATTCTCTGGGATCCAGTGGTGGCTCAGGTTGATGGGAGTCAGAGTTCCCACTCTGACTCCCTCTGCTTCATCCCACGCGGGCTCTCGGTGATAGCTGGGATGAGTGACGGGGAGTCACTTCCTCCCAGCGTGTGAGCTGCAGCGCTCACTGAGCCCCCTGACAGCATGGGCCACCTGATGGCAACCTAACATGTGGCCGCAGCGGTTTGCTGCGCAAGCTGGGGCTGCAAATGATGATGGCGGGAACCCGGTGGCAGGGGTCTGCAGGGCCCCCTCGATTGACGGGCCTGGTCACAGCTGCGACTGCTATATGTACGCCAGTGTACACATACACATTACGTGGCACAAGAACTTATGGGGCTGACATACATTTTTTTTCCGGGGCTGCTTTGAATTCCCAGTCTGGCCCTGCCTATGGAACAGACTACCTTCTTCCATCAGACTCTTCCCTAGTCTTCAATTTTTTACGAAGTCTCTTAAACCCACTTCTTCTGAATAACCAATGGCTTCCTAGGTTAACTGTAACTTTGTTGCTATCCCCCATGTTGTCTTTCATATTTTGTTTTTATATCCCACCTCTTCTAAATTGTTGACTCATTCAAGCAGGGTTCTCATCAACCTATTGTTCCTTTCAAAATGTATAATACTTTGTCTAATTTATTATTAAATTCTCCCTTATATATTATTGTAAAGTGCTACGGATTATGTTGGCCCAATATAAATGCCAATAAGAATAATCACCAAAATAATTTACCATCAGGGTATACCAAGTTATATGGTGCTAAATTACCAACCTCACGTGGAGCGGGGTGGGGGAAATCACTTAACCTAGATTTTAGTGTTTATCAAAATATATAAAATATTTTAAGAATTATGTAAATGCAGTATAAATTTAAACTTGAATTAGTCTAATGCTTTTCCGCTTTCTGCTACTCGTGTGAGTGTATTCTCCTTTTGAACACACAGATTATCCTGGTCCCAGCTGTTCGGTTTGTACAAAGACAGCTCCTTGGGTGACAGCTTATGAATTCTGATAAAATGATTAGGAATGCAAAGGAAAGGGTCTAAGAGGCAAATAATGAATCACGTATTTTATGGGGGATGTATATTGAATAGGCTCTTGTAAGGAGAAGGGGGAGAATAGTGAAAGGGTGGGGAAATTAAGGGGGATTCTCAGAAAACGAGGGGATACTGAGAGTGGAGTATGTAATAGTAGTGATGGATTCTGAGAGGGGGATATACAATGGAAAGGAATGGGAAGGGTAATCATGAAGGGATGGATGCTGAATGTTATAATGGAAGGCAGGTGATGCTGAGAGGGGAATATCAGTAACAGAGGGGATGATGAGAGTGTGGCATTTAATGAGAGGGAGAAGCTTGGAGAGGTACATATAGTGGAAGGGAGAGGCACATGGATATTGTTATTTAAAAAAAAAAAAAAAGGGAGTATGTTTTTGGAGGGATGGTGTTCCTCAAATGTCAAATGATGGCTGTTGCTGAAGGATTGCAAGTCAGAAAGCGAAACAAGTGTGAGGCAACTGAGGTTTAACATGGAAGAGAGAAAGTCCATGAGTGAAACAGAGTCTTTGGAATGAGTGATTATAAAGTATAAAGTAAAAATTAAGTTTTTCATGAGGTTAGCATTTGGAAATAAAATCCATAAAAATATTGCAATGGTTGAATGGATGATCCAAGAGCATGGTCATGAATTGCTAGATGGGGTCGGATTGGCATGAAGCACAGGGATTATCCAAGAGACATGTAGCAATGGCCGAGGTCAAATGCCATGAGGGCAGCGGGCATGCAGGGGTGAACTGAGAGAGCAGTCAGGAATAGGAACCTGCGTCAGGAGCCAATGATTGAGGACAAGAGGGGGACAATCTTGAGGACAATCTGAGAGTAGCCAGGAACAGGGGTGTTTGAAGTCACTGATGAATGGAGTAACCACACAGGTTACTTTGGGCTAACAGGAACTGAGGCTGCAAGGCAATGAGGTTAACTACGTCAATGCAAGCCATGACAACTTAATAAACAAGCCATGAGGCAAGCCACGACAATGAATATATGGGCAATAGTTAATTACAACTTAGCATGAAATCATGACAACACAGAGGGATGAACATTACCCTTTTCTTGGGGCATTCTTAAGGTGGCTCCAAAATATAATGCAGGCAAGATTGGTCATAAAAGGACACAGGGTCAGAGTGATCCAGTAAGAAAATAAAATGATGCCAGAATGACGCACAGCAACTTGCATTTAGTGGAGTCCTGGAGGGATGGAGGCTGTGACATGAAGCCTTTGTATCCTTTGTGGATGGATCCTAAACAATATTAAAATAGAATCATAGAATACACATGGAATGAAATTCTAAAAGAGAAATTAAACTACTTTGTTCTTACAAGCCTCTTACATGAATGAGCTGTCAAACAGGCAAATTAGGTTCACAGATAACGGCTGTAATTGAAACAGCATATAGGGTGGTAATCTGCAAGTAAATCTTTGCTTTTTCTTAATGATTTCCAGAATCATCCTTACATCACCCTCAAATAAGTAAAAAAAAGAAGACATTTTTTTATCTGCAAACTCTGCAATTAATGCATAGTATTTATGTAACTATGCCAGCCATTTTATTTAACTTCAACCAGGAAACAGCAAAGTAGCCTAATCCCACTGTATTATACCCCTAATCATTTTGCCTTCTTTAGTCTTTTTTCCTTAACTCACATTGTAATCCCCTAATCTAAGGAGTATAATGCTGCTATCTCAGCATTATATCCCTTATTATATCACCTGGCCAGTACAATCCCGTCTGTGGATATAGGCTGGAAGGCTTGCTCCAATGGCCTGGAATATGAAAAAGGAAAACTTTGTTAATTATGTATCAAGGCAGATCCACCAAGACACTTGAATGGCCACATTATATTTAAATCCAATACAGCTCATATTATAGGGACCCAGTTCCCACTATCTTGGTTCATCATGGGGGCAACCCTTCTCATTCATTAAACCAGGATTTGTGGAAAAAAATTCTCCACCTCCAATTTTTTCCAGGTATTTTTTGTCTAAAGTTGCAGTTTCCTTGTCAATTCTCCATTTTTTCCAGTAAGTGAATACAAATAAGTGTAATGCTGTTAAATACATTACATTTGCACCTATACTCGATTACTCTTCAAAAAGGAATATTTCGAAAAATAATATACATCATTATCTATGAGTTAATTAAAACATATTAATGACATAGTATATTTCATATTAACATAGGATTATGGACTAGTTAAACAAAAATAGAATTATTTTTAAAAAAAGGTCTATTTAGGACACATGCTGTATAATCTACACAAAATAGATATTTCCTAATATCAATGGCCCCAAACACTCTAAGGTGCTAATTGGATAATTTGGAGATTCCCTGAACATATCACTGAAAATTAGCTTTGCCTTAAAAACAAAACAAAAATAAACAACCTGTTTTGGTAAAGATGTGATAATGATCTCATAAAAAGTGTGATTTTAAAACCCGTGATTTCATAATATTGAGAAAACAACACTGATTTGTTAGAGACCTTATAGTGCATGAAGAACCAAATGAAAAAAAACTATTTAAAAAACTAAATACTTTAATATGTATTTCAAAAGCCAAAAGGTTACTTGTCACCAAACAGAAGCATATACACACAAAAATAAGCCCTGCGCTCACACTTCCACTACTCTTGGGGAGCAGAAATGGCTGTAGTATTCATTGTCACAAATACATGAAACTAAAAATGTTAACTGTGCACTTTTCAAAATCCATATGCACTTTTTAATAAAAGAATATTTTAGTACCACTCCAATAGCTATTAAAGTGTAAGCTCACCTTTTAAAGGAGTCAAATATTAGCAACTAACCTTGTTGCTTTAAGCTAAAAGGCAAAATGAGACAGAAACGGGTATTCTTATGAACTCCTACACAAGTATAACCCTTAATAGGACACACGTGATCATTGTGCCTGGAGTCTGTTTGTGCAACAATTTGCTTTGAAATGCTGCATATGCAGAATTAACCCCTTAGCTGCTGGAGGTGTAACTCAAACTCTTGGAGCATCATCAGCCAGCCCAAAATAAAGTTCATGGCAGTCAATTTTGTGCATAATTGGTTTCTGATGTTAGCATACACATCATGTTGCCACCAGACATCCAATAATGGCAAATTCACCACCTCTTTTCCACCCTAGTCCTCTCCTCATTCCACCCTGACTTCCCTCCCCTCTTGCAAGGGGAAAGATATTAGCTGATGGGGATCGGGCTCCAGGGACAACTTGGACTCGGTGATGGAACGGAGGTAAGTTATTTAATTTTATTTTACAACTGGGGAGGGTGGATCACTTCAGAAAGGGTTACCCTAACCAAAACCAGTGTTTTATGAAATCAATGCTTGAGTGAGTGAGGGGGGTTTGGAGGGGAGGGAAGCAGAGTTTAGTTTGGAGTAATCCTTTGTTGCTACAAACCATGTAGCTTGTCTGTGGCGGAACGTATTGTGATGACATCATACCCACTCAAGCTTCTCCATGGCTACTGAGGACCAATGAAGACACAAATGAAGAGAATTCAATGCCACTGGTGCCAGAGATGCCCTCCTCCACTGAATTACCAACAGAAGTGTCACTGTATGTGTAGATCAGCAGGCTTTTTGTGAACAACTGTTGAGTTGTAGCCAGGGCCAGATTAAGAGCCCAGTGGGCCTGGTGCTGACAATTATGTTGGGCCTAATTACAGAATCATATCGACCAAAAACAATAAAACACTCACAAGCGTCATGTATTTGATGGAGATGGTGCTGGAGATAAAGAAAACAGCAGCTATAAGAAAACACATACCTTATGCTAATCTCCCTCTAATTTATGTTTTCATCTTTCAAGTAAATCCATAACAGCTAACAGCAGTGTCCAGTCAAGCAGGAAGTCAATGGGCACGGTAAAAGGGTGTGCCACTGACACAAATCACGCGACCTGCCAAAAGGGACGAACATGCCCAAAAAGAGGGTATGTCTGCCCAAAGAATTAGAAGGCCAGTCTGGCATGAATGCATGTCAGGATGCCTGCCAATCATGCAGCTGGCCATACTATGCAGACAGCACCCTGAGCTAATTATGCGCTCACTCAACGCTTTCTAAGGACTGTTTCCTAGCACTCGCTGGTCCACTTGTCTTCTTACCTTCTTACTAGCAGGCAGAAGCTCCTGGTATATAGTCTGGGACAGAGAAAAGCTGTATGTAGTGAGTGTAGAAGAAATGGAACATGCCACAGTGTTAGAGAGACCAAAGTCAGCATTACCTTAAAGGATCACTATAGGGTCAGGAACACAAACATGAATTCATGACCCTATAGTGTTAACACCACCATTTTGCCCCCCTGGGCCCCTCATGCCTCCATAAATATAGCAAAATCTAACTATATTCAAGCCTGAAGCTGTAACTATGCATGCTGTTAGACTCATAAAAACAAGCAGTCTGCTGACATCATTAGAAGTGGTGGCCTGATCCAATCACAGTTCTTCCCCATAGGATTGGCTGAGACTGACAAAGAGGCAGATCAGGGTCAGAGCCAGTATAATTCAAACACAGCCCTGGCCAATCAGCATCTCCTTATATAGATTAATTGAATTAATGAATCTCTATGAGATAAGTTCAGTGTCTACATGCAGAGGGAGGAGACACTGAATGTTTGGATGCATGTTAGGCAGCCATGACCCAGGAAGGATCTCTAACAGCCATCTAAGGAGTGCCCAGTGAAGTTATCACTAGGCTGTAATGTAAAGACTGCATTTTCTCTGAAAAGACAGTGTTTATAGCAAAAAGCCTGAAGGCAGTGGCGTACACATGACCCATGGGGCCCCGGTGCGAAAATTGATCCGTGGGCCCCCCACCCCCCCAGCGCTTACTTGGCGCGGGTCGGGGCCGCAACACATGGCGGCGGGCACCTGGTCGCAGGGGTTGCAGGGCTGCGACCCCGCGACCGCGGTATGCACACACACTTAAAGGACCACTACAGACACCCAGATCACATCAGCTAAATGAAGTGGTCTGGGTACCAGGTCCCTCTAGTTTTAACCCTGCAGCTGAAAACATAGCCGTTTCAGAGAAACGGCTATGTTTCACTGAGGGTTAATCCAGCCTCTAGTGGCTGTCTCATTGACAGCCGCTAGAGGAGCTTCCGCGATTCTCACTGTGAAAATCACAGTGAGAAGACACTGAACGTCCATAGGAAAGCATTGAGTAATGCTTTCCTATGGGCGGTTTAAATGCGCGTGCTCATGTGCATTCCGAGCTGAGAGGAGGAGGGATCCCCAGCGCCAAGGGAGTCCGACGCTGGAGAAAGGTAAATGCTGAAGACACACACACTCTCACGAACAGACGCATACACACTAGCTAACAGACACACACACACATTTACTGACAGAGACACACTCAGTGACAGACATACATACACACTCACAAAACATACACTTTCACTGACAAACACACACTCACTAACAGACATCAAACACACTCAGTAACACACTCACTGACACACACACTAACACATATACACACACACACTAACACACAAACACTAACATACACACAAATACACACTAACACACACAAACACACACACTAACACACACACACTAACACACACTAACACACACACACACACACTAACACACACACACAAACACACACACACACACACAAACACACACACACTAACACACACACACACACACACACACTAACACTAACACACACACATTTTTTTAAAAATGTAATCCCCCCAGCCTCCTTACCTTTTGGAGTGCTGGGGGGATTCCCTGGGGTCCAGTGGTGCTGCTGGGCTCCTGGGCGGGCTGGCTATCTGTGTGGCCGGTGTGCGAGGGAGCACTCAGTGCTTCCTCTTCCTCGCGCCGCATGGGGATGCCGGCGCCGGAAGATGACGTCATCTTCCGGCTCCGGTATCAGTGCTCCCGGCGCGCGAGGGAGCTGAAGTGGAAGCACTGAGTGCTCCCTCGCGCACCGGCCACACAGATAGCCAGCCAGCCCGCCGGGGTCAGCAGGGCCAGCCTTGGGGGGCCCTGGGGTGGCCGGCTCCTGGGCCCCCCAGGGGAAGAGGCTGGCCCTGTGGGTACATACCAGGTCGCAGGGGCGACCGGGCCCCCTGGTGGGCCGGGCCCGGTCGCAGCCGCGACCCCTGCGACCCTGGTATGTACGCCACTGTCTGAAGGTAATGATTCTGCTCACCACATACACATACATTCTACTCACCAGAACAAATTCAATAAGCTGTAGTTGTCCTGGTGACTCTGGTGTCCCTTTAACTATATTCATTGTCAGCCAGTCCACACAAGTTTTGTTCCCATACATCCCTCTTAAGTTTCCATACTTAAGTAAGAGTATGTGAAAAGTAGTTAGGGTTGCCACCTTTCTTGGAAAAACATACCGGTGTTACTAATTTGCATAATTAAATATGTATGGGTGACATCACATGATGTAAATCACAAGGAGTGACATAATAGAAAATTCTGTAAAATCACCAAAAAACTACTTAGTTTGATTCTGCTGTATAGATGGATTCCTCCCAGTGCCCCCATGTGTCGATTACTCCAGGTCTCAGTGTTCCTATGTATCACAGTGTCTCAATGCTCCATGTCTCCCTGTGTCCCCATGTATCCCAGGGTCCCTATGTCACTAGGACACTAGGAAGACGGGGAGACCTAGGGACACAGAGACACCAGTGACACTGGGAGACTAGGGGACTCTGGCTGGGACACATGGGGACAATGGGAAAATAGGGGACACTTGAAGACATGGGGACACAGACACTAGAGACACTGGCTGGGGGACATGGGGACATTGAGACATGGAGGCACTGGGAGACATGGGGACACTGAGACACCAAGACCACAGACACTAGGGACACTAGCTTGGAGACATGGGGACATTGTGACACTTGAGGCACTGAGAGACATGGAGGCACTAGGAGACATGGGGACAGTGAGACACTGGGGGTACTGGGAGACTAGGGGTCACTGGGAGACTAGGGGGCACTGGGAGACTAAGGGGCACTGAGACACCAGGGACACTGGCTGGGAGACATGGGGACACTGTGTCATAATGTCTCCCAGTGCCCCTTAGTGTCTCAGTGTATCTATCCTTGCAGCCTTTCCCCCCCCATCCCTTACTTCCCTGAGCTGTAGGCTGTCTCTGCAGCGTGGAAGTTGCTGTCTGGACTCTCTGTAGCTGCACCCCTGCAGATCAGTGAGTATAGATAGGCAGGGAGGGATATGCTGGAACTTCCTATGCCTGCCTGTCTCCACATACAGCGACCCCTACTGGCCAGTGCTGGTATTGCATAGTAATCTCTTGTTTATACTGAGAAAAATACCAGCATTTGTATTGCCAGTATCACTGTAATACTGGCACTAGCCAGGCAGCCTCAAATACTGGCTGTGCCAATAAAATAAAAGCCAGGTGGAATCCCTAAGAGTAGTGTGTGAAAAAAGAAAATGTGAAAAAAAATGTAAATTTTTTTTTTTTTTTAAATCAATGGGCCTATTGCATGGGCCTGGGCCTGGAGCTGCAGCTCCATCAGCCCCTATGTTAATCCGGCCCTGGTTGTAGCAGAACCTTCTTTAATCCTTTTGTTACTCAACTGTTTTATGTAACAGGGTTGATGTTCCAGGAGGGATAAGCCAAATGACAAATGATTTAGGTAAACTAGAAAAATGGTCAGACTTGTGGCAACTGACATTTAATGTGGATAAGTGCAAGATAATGCATCTTGGACGTAAAAACTCAAGGGCAGAGTACAGAATATTTGATAGAGTCCTAACCTCAACATATGAGGAAAGGGATTTAGGGGTGATTATTTCTGATGACTTAAAGGTAGGCAGACAATGTAACAGAGCAGCAGGAAATGCTAGCAGAATGCTTGGTTGTATAGGGAGAGGTATTAGCAGTAGAAAGAGGGAAGTGCTCATGCCATTGTACAGAACACTGGTGAGACCTCACTTGGAGTATTGTACACAGTACTGGAGACCGTATCTTCAGAAGGATATTGATACCTTAGAGAGGGTTCAGAGAAGGGCTACTAAACTGGTTCATGGATTGCGGGATAAAACTTACCAGGAAAGGTTAAAGGATCTTAACATGTATAGCTTGGAGGAAAGACGAGACAGGGGGGATATGATAGAAACATTTAAATATATAAAGGGAATCAACACAGTAAAGGAGGAGACTATATTTAAAAGAAGAAAAACTACCACAACAAGAGGACATAGTCTTAAATTAGAGGGACAAAAGTTTAAAAATAATATCAGGAAGTATTACTTTACTGAGAGGGTAGTGGATGCATGGAATAGCCTTCCAGCTGAAGTGGTAGAGGTTAACACAGTAAAGGAGTTTAAGCATGCGTGGGATAGGCATAAGGCTATCCTAACTATAAGATAAGACTAGGGACTAATGAAAGTATTTCGAAAATTGGGCAGACTAGATGGGCCGAATGGTTCTAATCTGCCGTCACATTCTATGTTTCTATACCAATTAAAAATGAAATAACCATGACCACATACAAAGAAGATTTACGAAGAAGTGAAATAGGGATGCTGTTAATATATGAACCCATTATAGGCTAGACCAAAAAAACTAGGTTAAGGCAGTTTCTATTGTAGGGGTGAAATTAAAATAACTACTTATTGGTATTTATCAAAATATTCACATCCACAAAAGAAACTTAGACACTCTATATTCTGTCAGGTAAAATAACTCGGACCAGCAAAAAGATGAAGCGTAGTCGGAGTTTATTAAAGTGTAGCTTTGACGAAGGCTTCAAATTAGTTTTGATCTGCAAAATCCACACACAATAACAGCTACAATAACTTAGACTGTAAAGGGTCCTCAACCAAAACACAAAATGAATAGGGACTTGGGACATCTTACAAAAGAAGAAAACATATCGCATTATAACCAGCATCAACCAATATTGAAAAAGTGGATATAGTCTCTCCCTATAATATTCATCAAAGAGTTGGTCACATACAGCCACAGAGGCGGCTTTCTAATTAGGCGATTAGGCCTTGTGATGATTGGGGCCTAGATTGCCCTAGGGCAGTGTGACATTTCGGGTCCTTGACATGACAGGAGAGGGCCCGGCAGCTTGCTGGGTGCGAGACCCCTCCGCTTAGTTTGCCCGGAGGGAGCTCCAGCTTCCAGTCTGCAGCTCCTCCGGGTGAAGAGCTGCAGACTGAGGTGTCTCGCGATCTCAGCCAATCAGAGCGTTGCCACCTCACACACACTGTCACAACTCTACACACTCACACCCTGGCACTCCTCCCCCACACCCACCCTGTCACCTTCCCACAC